GGGCGCGGGCCCCGCCAGTCTCTCCACGGGATGCCTGAGAGGAGGCTCCCCATTGGCTGGCTGGGAGGCCGCGTGACCTGCCTAGCCAATGCCATGGGGCCTTTCTTCGCGGCGCCCCGTTTTTCTGCCCCGGCACCCCTGTGAGGCGGGGGCTGCCCAGTCCCGCCCAGGGCGGTTGGGCCCTTCGTAGCAGGCTCGGGCGGTGTTTGTGTCCCCGTTATGACCCCATGATTAATCTTCCCCTTTTAGGGGACTTGCATTTCGTTGTTGGGGGGGAGGGTAGGTGAGTGCCCCCTCATTTTGCTTTCTAGCGGGTGGCTCTCCCCGCCTTACACGAGGCTTTAGTTCACTCGTTGTTCGGGCAGAAAGGGCACCGGGCCGGGACAGCAAGCCCGGCCTGTGGCTGTGGCCATGCACCAGCTGGAGGGCTTGTCTGGCTGGGACGGGCGAGGAGGGAACAACCCGCAATGATGCTTCTGTCAAGTCTCCAGGGTCGTTTCAGTGCTGCGTCTTAGGTGTCTTGTATCCTCATTCCTTCCTGAATGTGTTGGCTTTAGATTACCTTCCCTGGAAACCCTCGTCCTCAGTTACCCAAGATCTAATAATTTTATAAAAGGATTAACATCAATCTTGGCTTCAGAAGTAGTAAGCCAAGATATTTCTCATGTGACCGTATGAAAACTAGGCTGAGCTTTGTCCACATATGACTCATTTTGCTCCATCTTGCAGGCTTCCCCTCTTATCTCTACTTAAAAACATATTTTGCAGTGGTACCACGTGCCCCTTGCTTTTTTACATCTGGTCTGCAGCTGAGAAAAAATGTTGTAAAGCTGAGCATGGCGTAGGTTAGAGCAGAGTTATTTTTACTCATTGTGCAAGTTTCGCCTAGTTTTGATTTAGTTAAGTCTACTGCATTTATATTAAGACAAAATAATTATAGGCTTCCAGACAATACAGAGGGTGTTCTCAAATTTTTTTGGATGTAGTTCCTTAATTTTTCTTTATTTTTACTTATGCATATGTATTTTCATAGTTTCTCAAGAGATCTACTACATTCAGCACGTTAAATGCAGAATCTGTAGTATTCTGTGTAAAACGTGGTTGTTCTAGATCACAACTGAAGGGGGAGCGCTTAAAACTACTTCTGAAGACTGTAGGTCTTTTGTGATTACACAGACACGGAGGCAAGCTAAAAGCATTTAGAAATAATGAAGTTCTAAAAATTAAGAGGCTAAAAAATAAAAGCTATTGTAAAATGTAATACCTTGGTATACAAAGAGGCAGATGCGGTGTATCTTGATTTCTAGAGTTGTGCTTAATGTTCATGTTATGCTTATTCTTGTCTTGGTTACTTACCATGCACTTTAAGAATAAAAGCAACCAAAAAAATCTGCAGTCGTTTTTACACTGCGCCCTTTCTGTTACTGGATTTCACTAGTTCTTTTTGTGCAGCAACACAGAACTTGGTGTCAATTTACACGTACTTCTTTTTTTTTTTTTCATAGCCTTCAGTAGCTAGTCCGTCATAGATCCACCCATAGACCTTTACTGTAAACCAGCTATTCCCTGCCTCCTCTTCCTGCTAGCATTTCAGTCCAGAAGTTAAGGAGTTTGAAACTTAAGACTTCCTTGAATTTCTCTGGTAACAATCGAGGTTTAGCCAAGACTGGAAACAATGCTTCGGGTGATTGTGGAATCTGCTACCAATATCCCTAAAACAAAGTTTGGGAAACCAGATCCTATTGTTTCTGTTATTTTTAAAGGTAAGGAAAACTGTCATAAATGTACTCAGGGAGAAGGTTTTCTGAAGGATGGTGCGCTGTGTAAGTATTTGACAATCTGTGAAAACATGTTTCCCTGAAATTACATCTGATGTAACTTTAGGGAAGACTTTTTAATTAGGGAGACAGGAGTTACCTGAATGAAGTTTGAACTGGGTGGAGTGCACTGGCCTTTTCTGGCCATCAGTGCTTCTGTTTCAGGACCCACCAAGCTTTTGCAAATTAGCCCTTTGCTTTAAAAGCTCAAATCTAACTGCATAGATAAATCTACTTTTAATTCTGGTATTGAAGATTATCTTCTTGTTTTCCATCTGCAAAAATCTTTCCTGTCTTGATTCCTTTGCACAGCCACTGCTCAATGTTACACCAGTTCTCATTGTGATGGTTTATTGTTATTACCAGCATGCTGAAAAACAGTAGTACTGAAGGTGTTTGGTTTCATTTGGGTTTTTTTTACAAACTTAATTGCACTTTAAAATTTTGCCTGCTGAGAAATGGATTTAAACTGAAGATTTAGAAGGAAACCACATTTTACATTTTCATTGCTCATCAGATACATATGGGAGAAGGAGAAAACAGTGTGATAAAATTAGCATTGATATGTAAAGTTAATGATATTTTACAGTATATTTTACCTGTTACCATCATTTCCTCACTTGGCTAAAGGCACTTGATTTCAAGTATTGGTTTGCCTTTAAGGTGCAGAAACCTCCAAACAGTTTTGGATCATGTAATCTGTTCAACCAAACTGTTACAAATGGTCATCTTAATTCCTGATGACCTGGTTTCCTAACTGTACTGAAATGGCAATGGTATTTCCTAAACTGTGAAAAATCATTTTAGGGGTTTGAAACATTTAGAAACCAAATCTGAAATCATGACATTCTGTTGGAGGCTGGAAAATGTCAAGGCAGTGCACATCCAGTATCTTAACTTTCAAAATAAAATCTTTTTTGGATACTTTATTTCAGTATCAGAAAGATGGGACATCATTCCATTTCCTTTCTTTTCCTTCTCTTTTTCAAGTTTGGTTTTTTACCCACCTGTGTGTTAGGGCAAGTGGCTGAGCCTATCTAGTAGCTTTTGGAACTTCCTAATTCTTAAAATATTATTTTATTTGCCCTGCAAAAAGTGCTGTTACTGGTGTACTGTCATTTCTCTGGTTTGTGTCATTTGTTTCTGCTGCTTCTTAAGCATTCATATTCTCTTTAAGTTCCTTCCTCTTTGCTTTCCTGTCACAGTTTTGCCTTTCTCTGTTACCTCTTGTTCCTGCAGTTTCATACTTGAGAGTTGGTTTATGCCTTTGCTTCTTTATGCCATGTCTGTTTAATTCTCCTTGTAATCTTTCATTCTGTGTGCTTTAATGAAATTCAGTTTTACCTGGTAAATATAAGTTACAGATTTTTCTTTTTCTTCTGCATTGCTGGATTTGTTTCTCTGTCCTTGAATTATCCAAACACAGGAATTAGGCGACAGACATTAAATGAATGAGTTTATCTTTTATGTGCTGTAACTGGGATTTTTAATGGTCACAAACATGCTTAACCATTGTTTTAAATACAACTTCATAATTGTGCCAGTTTTTTAGTAGGTTATTTAATTTCTCATTACATCTGCCACTTCTTTTTATGTGGTTTTACTACATACTAACAGTCTCATTTTTTACTCTCTGTCCAGAGTGAGTCAAGGGGGCCAGAAAATAACAGGCTTTTCCCAGCTATTGAGCAGGTCTGACTTAATTTGTAAGTGGAGTACCTGGTTGCCATGTGCAAGGGCATAGGGATCATATCCGAAATATGTTGAAGTTCTGGCTGCTTATGTTTATAGATGCTTTTATATACAGCCTGTTCCCCCTTACCCTGTTAGTGTGTAGAGTTGGGAAACCAGTCTTATTTTTGGGAAGGTGTTATGTCAAAGGGCATCAGTCTAACATTAGTCCATACCCACTGTATCTTCTGGGGGACATAAAAACAGTTGGAAGTTTATTTTCCAGATGGAAAAAACCTCAGGCATTTGCAGGACTTTGGCCATACCCCTGCAGTACATTTTATATTATTTTTGACTCTGGAATATTCTTGGAGAAATCTTAGAGAACAGCACTAATTTGACAGAAAATTGGTGTGGAATTTGACATTTCATTAAACTGTTTTTTTGGTTAGCTTTTTCAAACTTTAACTTACATAGACTTCGCTGATGTCGGGCTCAGTTAATTTTATGACTGATGAAAACACACAGTACCTCTCAGGGTTAGATCTTTTTGGCTATGCTGTGAAGAAAAAGGCTGAGATCCTACAACTATTAGTTAACACACATATGTTACTATAGTTTCATCTATGTATATAATAGACCATCAAATTTTTATAACTAAGTTATAGACTATACAGTTAGTACAATTAATACAGTGCATATATTAGGTACATATGAAGAGGAAATAGGGAGCTGTTCCTGTTATGGAATCTTACAATAGAGGGATTTTGTGCAAGCATTTGACTTCTTTTTGCACATTTATTTTCAGTCCAGCGGTACAGAACTTCTGTTTACTTTAAGAACAACTCACTGTTCAAAGAGAACTACACCCTGAGAGTAAACGAGTAGTACTATGTAGAAATGGATGCTGTCACTGCAGAATTCTGAGTTCATTGTCACTCTACATAAGACAAATTATTAGTCACATTAATGTGAAAAACTGTTGCCATTTGCTGAACTGGCACTAAGTGGTAATGATTAAACCAGTACAATTCTTTTGGTTTGTCAGATATACAAAACTGGAGAAAAATGTGTCAGATTCTTGCCTTTGGGTGTAAATATTGACACAGTATGTGCAGTCAGTACTATGACATTTAGTGCTTTGATCATTCCTTTTGACTGTCTCATTCAGCTTTATGCATTAAAAACTGATGTGAAATGGCATTCAGTTTGATTGGCTCAACGTGAATAAAATTTGGTTTTCCATTTGTGCTTAATCTGAGCTTTCCAGCAGGCCTGCAGTAGTTCATAGCTGTTAGTTTATATTTCAGTGTGTGAAAGAAAAGAGTATTAGAATGCAATTATTCACTAAATTTATACTTTCTGTTTTGCAGATAATTAAATTCTGAACTTTAATTTCCTAGTTTTGG